TATATATATATATATATATTCATATACATATATAGTAACACAGGAATTTGTCACACTCTCCTGGTGCAAGACCCAGGAGGAGCCTCTGGATGGTCAGTGTAGGTTTGATGTGGGGTAGTTGTTCCTGATGGGACTTTGCAATTTGGAGCTCACAGCTGAGATCAAGCCTTATGGATACCAAGTTGAGCTGCATGCTTATTAGACCCAGCGGGCATTGCTGGGGCCTCACCAGCTCCTAGAATGTCCAGGGAGCTGGAGACAATGAGAAATTGGTTATTGGTGGATGCCTGGAGAGCTGGGGCCCCTGCTGGAACTGAGAGCTCTTACCCATCTAACATGTTCCATTTGGTATCTGTTTTTTATTACTTCCCTCTCCCACTCTAGAATTAAGACCTGTGAAAAATATGCTGTGCCATATGGTCTTCTAGATTGGGAATAAAGGAAACTATTAAGACTTCACACTGGACATACATTAACATCAAAGAATGGAATAGTAGTTCATTCTTATACTACACCTAAATTTGATCATTTAGTAATATATACCGTATGTTATGCCATATGACTATGGCTTTAATCCTTTGGTGATAATTAATACATATTTTGATGCTCTCCATGGCAATTCAAAAGGATAAAAATGTCCAATTATTTTAAATTCCTTGCCTCACTCAAAAACAAATGGAATTAAATATCATTTAGTGTGATGGGACAACTGAAAGACCCACCCGCCCTAGTCAGTCCTCTCTGCCCGATCTGTCATAGTGCTAGGAGCCCACCATTACTTAGTTATCCCCTGAAGCTATGGCATTATTTCTAGAAGGCCTCCATTACTTAGTTATCCCCTGAAGCTATGGCATTATTTCTAGAAGGCCTCCATTACAACACATCTCTACTACCTGGAATGGGACGATCTTCATTGAGTCTTAGAATCACATATGTTAAGTAGCCAATTAGGTTTAACAAGAAATTCACGAGGGGTTCTGAGGCCTTTCTATTCTGAGGTGAAAATGGGTATGTTACCTGGTTTCCTCCAACATGCTGCAGAGAAATAACCACTGGGTCAGCCAAGTTTTGAATTGATGTATATGAAACGCTGGCACTCACCACAAAGGTAGTTAATGCTTTAGTGACATTTTTGGTCTGTAGATGAAACATATAAGGAAGAGGGGTTCAAGTCCTAAATTTCCAGTTTCTTGCCTGTTAATCGACTCAGAATTATTAATGCGTGGCACTAGGTACAGAAATATAGAAAAGAAATTCACAAGCTGAGAAGAAATCTTTATTTTTTATTTATTTTTTAATTTTTTAAAGATTTTATTTATTTTCAGAGTAAACTCTGCCCCCAACATTGGGCTCAAACTCACGACCCCAAGGCCCAGAGTCGCGTGCTCTAATGACTGAGCCGGCCGGGTGCCCCTGAGAAGAAATTTTTAGAGGTCATTTAGCTCACCTCCTGTCTTCACATAAGGTCTCAATCTTACCCAGCTAAAACAATTCACTAATCCCAGCCACATACCCAAATATCTATTAAAAAAAAAAAGCATTAGCTTTGTTAATATTTTGTTGTTACCTGCAACTCAGTACCGCACTAGGAACAAAGTGAGACTATTCCCGACTTTGGTAACTCTCTGAACCCTGACACTTGGGGCACTTTCAGAAGATGCCACATTTCTGAGCCCTGAAGCCACTGAGAACTGGGTGATCGTGAACACAGCCCGGGGCTCTGCTAGGAAGCTACTCATTTCATGTTCCTGCCCAGCTGTGTTCATCCAAAACCAGCCTAGTGGTTCAATTCCCCCCGGGGTAGCATGAGGTAGAGGTGGATCTACAGCACAAAATGGTGGCAAGGGCCCTGGCTGACAGTCAAAAGACCAAGTGCTAGCCCAAGCCCTCTTGTTCCTTGAAAGCCTCTTCCCCTCTCTTACACTGATAACAGGAAGAAAAGTGGACCCGGTGATATCTAAGAACCCTCTCAATTTAGTCGAAGACATACACTTTTCTGTAGTGGAGATGCCAAAAGAGGGGCAACACACAGAGACCCAGGACTTAATTAACCTGTCCTCAGGTTTTATTTTCCTTTCCTACAAAATGGCGGCCATGCGGGAAAAGGAGCTAAATAAATCATTTCTCACTCTTCCACTCTTTGCTTCTAGGCTCAAGTTTTACCAGTTTCACTTCTGAACCTTTTAGAGAAGTTGTTCCCTCTGCCCAAAGCACTCCTCCATCCTTCTCCCTGCCCCCTTTCATCTCCTAGCTTCTACTCAACCTCGGGTTTCAGCCAACACCTCTCTAGGCCTTTCCTGATCTCCCGGACAAGGGTAGGTGTTCTCTTCTATGCTCCCAGAGCCCCTGTGCCATATTGTACTTGCCTAATGCTCCGTCCTTCTCCTAGAGAACTGCTACTAGTGGAGGAGGAGGTGCGTGTTTTCCAAGAGGGGTGTCTTAGCAACAATTTTTTTTAATATATGAAATTTATTGTCAAATTGGTTTCCATACAACACCCAGTGCTCATCCCAAAAGATGCCCTCCTCGATACCCATCGCCCACCCTCCCCTCCCTCCCAACCCCCATCAACCCTCAGTTTGTTCTCAGTTTTTAAGAGTCTCTTATGCTTTGGCTCTCTCCCTCTCTAACCTCTTTTTTTTTTTTCCTTCCCCTCCCCCATGGGTTCCTGTTAAGTTTCTCAGGATCCACCTAAGAGTGAAAACATATGGTATCTGTCTTTCTCTGTATGGCTTATTTCACTTAGCATCACACTCTCCAGTTCCATCCACGTTGCTACAAAAGGCCATATTTCATTTTTTCTCATTGCCATGTAGTACTCCATTGTGTATATAAACCACAATTTCTTTATCCATTCATCAGTTGATGGACATTTAGGCTCTTTCCATCATTTGGCTATTGTTGAGAGGGCTGCTATAAACACTGGGGTACAAGTGCCCCTATCTTAGCAACAATTTTTAAAGTAATATGGTGTAATGGCAGTTAAGATTTTGATCAAAAGATGTTAGAGGAAGCTGCATCAAAGCAAGGCCGTGAGACTCGGGACCCGGGGGAAAGGGAGCTAGAGGATGGCATCTCTTCTAAGTAGCCCCCCCCAACAATCAGGGGCACAGGCCCCTGGCTCAGGTCATCCCCTTCAAAGTTAGAATCTTTAGGCTTCTATTCTCCCATCGGACTGTAAGCTCTATGAGGGCAGGCACCATGTCTCTCTTGCTCGCTGTTGTATCCCCAGCATCCAGCACCACACAAGACACACAGTAGGAATTTGATAAATATTTGCTGACTGAATAATAATTGCGTGACCAAATGAATACACCGTGTCATCTCTAGCAGGTCCCTTCCCCTCAATACCCTCATTGGTAAAAGGAGATGGGCCACTGTGAGTTACAAGGGCCCTTCCAGTTCTGAAAGTGATGGCACCATGACGTCTGTAGGCTAATTTTGGCAAAGATCTTTAATCCCCTTCAATGGAAGGTGTCAGTGAATAAAAATGACTGATTAGGGGTGGAATCTATGCAACATAAATTTCTCTTCTATTCTATGAGACAAACACAGCCCTCTACAGAAAGGAGAGAAATTAAGACAAAAATAATGGCATGTCAGATGATACAGGGAAATTTCAAGCTTACCAAAAGGGTCAGAGTGCTATGAGCCACATTCTTAATTTTTATTAAAGTCTTTGTGCATTAACTCTCTTGTCTCAGACCTAACCAGTTTTTTTCCTTGTTTTTTAAAGATAAGCCTTAATAAATATGTATCTACTGAAAACATGTTGGGTACCTAGCCCTGTGCTAGGATCCACGAAAATAAAACATGTCTGACCCATGACATATGCCACAATCTACTTAGGGAAACCAGACCAGAAACTAGATGGAAGTGTAAGACAAGAATGCAAGCAGGGGGTGAGGAGGAAAGCAGGGGCTCATGAACTCCAGGCAGGCTTTCTGGGTGGGATTTGAGCTAAATCCACAAGAACAAATAGGATTTAGATAGAAAGAAATGGGAGCCACTAGAGAATTCCAAGAGAACAGGACACCCTACAGATGTAGCTGGAGACGATGTATTATATTTGAGTTGGTATGTGGTATGGGTATGTGGTATATTTAAGCTGGCCCAGTACAATCTCCCTGCAATGACTCTGTGAGTATTTGACCATTATAAATTCATTCCTTTGGATAGCCTCTCTAGGAAATGAAAACATACTTGACTGTTAATGTATGGATCTCTTAAATACTTGAACTTTGGAGTCAGACAGCCTGGATTGGATTACTAGTTATGCCACTTCCTAGCTGTGTGACCTTGAGCAAAATCACTTAGCCTCTTTGTTTTAGTCCATCCAAGCTGTTAGAACAAAATATCAGACTGAGTGGCTTATCAACAACAGAAACTTATTTGTCACAGCTGTCGACATTGGAAGTCCAAGATCAGGGTGCCTACATGGTCAAGTTCTGGTGAAGGCTTGCTTTCTGGTTGCTAGATGACATCTTCTTGCTGGGTCCTCACATGATGGAAGAGTCAAGCAAGCTCTCTGGAGCCTCTTGCATAAGATAACTGATCCCATTATGACGGCTGCACCCTCAGGACCTCATCCCCTCCCAAAGGCTCCGCCTCCTAATACCATCATCTTGGGGGTTAGGGTGTTAACGCATGAATTCTGGGGGACACAGCATTCAGACCACAGCACTCTTTGCGTCAAGGTTTCTCATAAGCAAGTGAGATAGTAAAGTGTGAACGTTAACAGTTAATAGTGATCATCAACTATTTCATGCCAGCTCTGGGTGCTATCTTCCCAACAGCTAGATGGGGCAGAGTGGGCCAAACAAATGAACCTGTTATTAGACTGAGCCCCCCAAACAGGCCAATAATAATAGCAACGCATAGTTGACTTTAAATTCTGCCGGTCTGGCCCCAGAATCTGTGCTCATAAGCACCACATCGTACTGCCTCTTTGTCTTAATGACCGGTGGGACAGGAGCCCTCAGAAAAGGTTCTGCGGAGGGGGTAGGAAGGAGCAAAACGTGCTTGAAGGCAAGGGTCTTGCTGGACACCACTCAGCTGCGAATAAATTGGCCCCAAAGAGTGGGCATGTGAGGCTTTGAGGAGCCAGGGCAGATTCGGGGGGAAAGCACAGGCCAGCTGAAGCAGCATTGCAGCAGGAGAACTTGCTGTTCTTTTCTGGTTTCAAAACATCTTGAGGCCTCTGTTTGGTCACCAGATAATCCTTAAGGTTCCTTCCAACACTGAGAGGCTGTGAAAATTAAACACTGTGGAACATCGTTAAAGAAGATGTTGATTCATTCTGAGGGCCAGGGTTTGTGCCAGGAGACTCACAGAATAAATCAGAGAGCGTATTCTAAAATAAACAGAACATCATGAAAATAGCAAGAGTTCATAATTACAATGAGTCACCGCATGTCACCTCGTGACAGTTACCAGAGGCAAGAACTTACCTTAAAGAGTGAAGTTTGGCCAAAAAAGTTAAACAAGATGGTGTGTAAGCTGCTAAGAGGAATTCTCTCCCTCAGGGATTTAGGCAAATATATGGAAGCCAAAATCCTTCCCAGAGGGACTTCACCCAGATAAATCTGCCAAGACAAGCCAGAAATAGAAACTGGAATCATCACTCATGAACCTGAAGCCCTCCCGACCTCCCACCCCAGCCACAGCCACAACCCTGGAGGATCCCGCTGTGAGGCTGAAGGCTGGGAACGAGTTCTACAAGCTATCCTTTTATGCGTGGACACAAGCACACATACAAGCTCTCTCTCTTTCTCTCTCTCTCTCTCTCTCAGATCACAGGGAAAGACATGACCAGGGCGCACACAGACATAGACACACACACACACACACACACACACACACACACACACGACTTTTTTCTTTCCCAACTTATCTCTGACTTTCTCTCCTTCTGATCTACTTCCACCTGGGTATGCACAGAGGTGGAAAGGGGAATGATGAATCAGGTGATTTGCCTGATTTATTGCTGAGAATCAGGAAGTCTTTGAAAGCAGGCCCTCTTTGCCCATACATTTCTGAGAGGGGGAAAAAAAAAACCCAGAACAAAAAACCAACACAATAGGAGCATTAGGCACTTGCCCCAAATGTCACTGGGTGATGCTTTTGTTAAAAAGCAAGGCAGGGAAGTGAGGCATTAGGCCTTAGGAATTCTAGGGGCTCACTATTAGAAGAATTTGCTGATTTGATTTGGTAATAGTATTTTATAAGTACTAGAACATTTTTGAGAGTGAAAAGAACCAATCAACTGGGACCACAATTGGTAAACCTGGACAATCCCAGGCAAAACAGGGTATATGGGCACCTTTACATGAATTTGCTCATTTAATACCTTTATCAGCTCTGAAATATATGTTGTATTATGATATCAAGAGGCTCAGGGAGATTAAATTACTTGTCTAGGGTCACACAGCTGGGATGTAATTGAATGAAGATATTTGTCATTTGGGCCTACGTTTTCCCCATTACCCATGCTGCCCGTCAAGGAACTATTATCTAGCTAGCTGTATCATGGGAAGATGAGAGTTTATAATATTTCTAAAAATTATTTGTGAACCCCAAAGCCATACGGTTCTTCTCCCGCACAAATGAACTCTGCTAGGGCAATGAAGTACCATGGGGAAGTTATGATTTAGCTTCAATGTGTAAGCAGTTTGGTACCCAAAATGTGATTGAGGTTGGTTGATTTGTTTCTCCACCAAAGTCTATAATAGAAAGCCCCGTATGTAGCCCAGATACAACGGGAAGTCAACATCTGCCTCTGGCGTAGCTGAGTAGCTCAGAATGGACTCGATCCCCCTGCACATAACTATACAAAATAGCCACGACTCGAAAGCACTGGAAAATGAACAAAAGCAGGCAGATTCTGGACAAGAGTAGACATGTGGAAAAAGGTAACATTACAAAGTGAGTTAGTTACCTGTTTTTACAGCTCCTAACCTGATGGCAAGGTGAAACTAATGCTGCGAACACCACTCAAATTCTGATAGCAAACTCGCAGTCTTGGCGGCATGAAGAATCATAAAACAAAGCCCAGGGTAACCACAGTCTGTCACTGGAAGGTCGGGGCGGGGGCTGGGGTGAATCACGGAAAGGAGAAAGCTAGAGAAGGAGAGCCAAAGTCCTGAGTATAAACTCTGCCTGGCCTCTGAACCACTAATGTACAGGACGGACGGACTCCAACGAAGAATAAAGGAACTTAACTGAGATTTATGCTGCCATCCCAAAGATGGAATCCACAGTTCAATTCCAACTGAGTTATTTGCCTGGTATAAAAAAAAAAGTCAATAGTTTTCTGAAGAATATACTAGAACCCAGAAACTCCATTATATAACATTCTCAGTACCCAGGACATAATTCACAATTACCCCACGTGTGAAGGAAGAATGAATGTGACCCACTTTCTCTTTTTCTTTTTAAAGTAGGTTCCACACTGGGTGTGAGCCCAACATGGGGCTTGAACTCAGGGCCCTGAGATCAAGACCTGAGCTGCTATCAAGTGCCAGATGCCCTAATGACTGAGCCAGCCAGGTGCCCCCAAATATCACCCATTTTCAAGTGAAAAGACAATCAATGGAGATCAAACTGGAGATGACCCAGATGTTGGAGTCAGGAGACAAGGATTCTTAAGCACCTCATGTAACTATGCTCAGGTATTTAAAAGAAAATATACTTGCAATTAATGCAAAAAGAAGAAATAAAAGCAGAGAAACAAGCAAACGAAGGGACAAAATGGAAACTCTAGAACCAAAAATACAATAGCAAAAATGTTTTAATTGCACTGGATGGGTTTAAGAGTAACCTAAAGATGATAGCGATCACTGGACTTGAAGAGAAATCAGAAGTTATACTATCAGAAAAATAGATAGTAAAATGATTAAAAACATGAACTTAACCTCAGGGACCTGTGGGGTGACATCCAAAAATCTTACATACATGTAATTGGAGTCCCAAAAGGAGAGGAGAGAGAGAACAGTGAAGAGGTAATATTTAAAGAGATAATGATGGACATTTCCCCAAATTTGATAAATTTACAGATTCAAGACATAAATTTACAGATTCAAGAATCTCAGAAAACCTCAAGCAGGATAAATGCAAGGAAAAACACACTTACACACATAATACCAAACTGTGAAAAAAAACAAAGAAAATATTGAAAGCAACCAGCGAAAAATGACCTTTTATACATCAGATACAGAGAAGCAAAAATTCAAAGGATTACTGACTTCTGACCAGAAAATGTGGAACCCAGAAGAGAGTAGCCTATGTTCAAAATGCTAGGGGGAAAATGCTGCCAAGGGAATTCAGACTTCTATGGTAAACAAAAATATCCTTCAAGAATAAAGGCAAAATAGAGTCATTTTCCGATAAACTAAAACCAAGAAAATTCATCACCATCAGACCTGTACTACAAGAAATACTAAATAAATTTCCTGGCCTTCAGGTAAGAATGAAGAGCACTGAAAATTATAAATATATACATAAATATAAAAGACTATTTTCTCTCTCGATTGCATAAGACTCTTTAAAGCAATAATTATAACACTGTCTTGTGGAGTTTCTGATCTACTTAGATATAATATATATGAGAATGATAACATAAAAGACAGAGGTGTAAATGGATATGGATGGTCAAAGTGTTTTACGTGAAGTAGTACAATATCTCCTCTAAGTATATTGCAAAATATAAGGATGCATATTGTAATTTCTAGAGCAACCATCACAAAAATAATACAAACAGATATAACTAAAAAGTCAGTAAAAAATGAAAATTCAGTTGTAATACATATTAAAAAATGAACCAAAAAGCATCAGGAAAAGAGGATCAAAAACCAAAGGGATAGAAAATAGAATAAAATGGTAATCCTAGATCCAACCAGATCAAACATTACATTAAATGTTAAAGGACTACACACTCCAATTAAAAGGCAGATATTTTCAGGATGGATAAAAAACGTGAAACACAAGCTGTATGCTATCAACAAGAAGCACACTTTTTTTTTTGAAGTGCACTTTGAATATGAAGAAATAGAAAATAAGTGGGTGTAAAAACAAATGTATATGGAATAGTAAGCATGAAAAAACTGCAATGACTATATTAAAATCAGATAAAACAGACCATAAGACAAAGAACATTACCAGAAACAAGTAAGATTAGAGTTATTATGGGGAAGACACAACAACACAAATGGATATTATACTTATGTCATATTATAACAGAGCCCCAAAATAAGTAAGGCAACATTTGACACAGCTAAAGGGAGAAAGAGAGAATTTCACAGAGTCAGAGATTTTAACACCCCTCTAAATTAGGAAAAAGCTAGTAAAAAAATCAGTAAAGACACAGATGACCTGAACAACATTATCGACCACCTTGAGGTCTGATAAAGTACAACATATGCAACAAGTAGAACACACCAAGTGTTTCAAGTGTGTGAAACAAGTCCCAACAAATTTAAATGGATTGAAATGATCCCAAGTACACTCTGTGACCCATATGAAATAAACAAGAAATCAAAAACAACAATATGTGTTGGGTGTTCCCCAAATATTTGGGACTTAAAGAATGCATTCCTGAATAATCCACGCATCAAAGAAGAAAGCAGGAAATATTTTGAACTGACTGCTCATGAAAATACAACATATCAAAATTTGCAGCCTGCAGCTAAACAGTGCTTAGAGAGATATTTATAGCTTTTTATGATTTACTAGAAAAGAAGAACCTAAAATCAATGGCCTATGGATCCACCTTAAGAAACCAGATAAAGGAGAGCAAAATAAACACAAAATAAGTACGTGAAAGGAAATACTAAAGATAAGAGTAGATAGTAACAAAATAAAAAACACTCAATAAAGAAAATTAACAAAGCCAAAAGTTGGTTCTTAAAAAGGATCAACAAAATTGAAAAATCTCTGGCTATACTGACCAAGAAAAAAAGAACAAGAAAAGAAATCAACACTATCAAGAATTAAAGAGGGATTATTACTATAGATAAGAGATTGACAAATTGGTCAGCAGGTCAATCCTACCTATGGCTTGTTTTCATATATCTCAAGCTAAGAATGGCTTTTACGTTTCATTTTTAAAAGAATGTGAGGAAGGAAAGGAAAGGAAAGGAAAGGAAAGGAAAGGAAAGGAAAGGGGGGAGAGAGAGAGAGAGAGAGAGAGAGAGAGAGAGAGAGAGGAAGGGAGGAAGGGAGGAAGAAAAAGAGAGAAAGACAATAAAAATTTTATCAGAGACCACCTGTAACTTACAAAGCCTAAAATATTTACTGCCTTTTACAGAAAAACTTTGCTAACCATCCCTATAATTCTATAGACATTAAGAAATAGGAAAAGGGAACCTGGGTGGCTCAGTCCATTAAGCATCCAACTCTTGACTTCAGCTCAGGTTATGAGTTCGTGAGTTCAGCTCAACTCATAGTTTGTGAGCTCCAGCCCTGCAATGGGCTCTGCACTGACAGTGCAAAGCCTGCTTGGGATTCTATCTCTCCTCTCTCTGTGTCCCTCTTCTGCTCGTGCACGTGCTCTGTGCTCTCTCTCTCTCTCCTCTCTCTCTCTCTCTCCTCTCTCTCTCTCTCTCTGTCTCTCTCTTTCTCAAAAGGAATAAACATTAAAAAAAGAAATAGGAAATACTATGAACAACTATTGTCAACAAGCTTCACGAGTTAGATGAAATAAATTCTTAGAAATATATAACTAACCAAAACACACAAGATGAATCAAAACATATAAATGGCTCTATATCCGTTAAATTCACTGGGTTTGCTATCAAAATACTTCCCACACAGAAATTCCAGATCCAGAGAGTTTCCTAGTGAACCCTATCAAGCATTTGATGAAGGAATAACACCAATGTTACAAATACTTTCCAAAAGTAGAACAGGCACTATTTCCCAACTCACTGTTAGAAAGTTGGCACAACCCTAATCTAACTAAATAAAAATAGAATTAAAAAATTAGAAAATAAAAAAATAATTAGAAATAAAATATTATTTTAAAAATGAGAAAAAATCCCAGACCAACATCCTTCATGAACATAAATACAAAAATACTTAAAATATAAGTAAGTTGAAAACAGCCGTATATAAAAAAATGATAATACATTGTGACCAGTAGCTTTTCTTCCAGGAATACGAGATTGGTTTAACATCCTAAAATCAATGTAATCCACCATATTAGAAGAATAAAGGAGAAAAGCCAAACAATTATTTCAAGAGGTACAGAAAAAAACATTTGACAAAATTCAACAACCATTCACAATAAAATTTTTCAGCAATCTAGGAACAGAAGGTAATTTCCTCAATCAAATAAAGGGAATCTAAAAACAAAACAAAACAAAAACATGGCTAACATCAGAGTAATGGTAAAACAGTGAACACATTTCTTCTGATATCAGGAACAAGACAAGGATGTCAATTTAACCATTTCAATCCAACATTTTATTGGAAGCACTAAAATCAAAAAGAAAGGAATAAAAGGAATAAAAATCAACAAGGAAAACATTAAATTGTTTCTATTGCCAGATGACATTACAAAGAATGTCCTAAGGAATCTCTATAGCAGGCACCTGGGTGGCTTGGATGGTCAAGGATCTGACTGTGGCTCAGGTCATGATCTCACAATTCATGAGTTCAAGCCCCTCACTTGGCTGTCTGCTGTCAGCATGGAGCCCACTTCAGATCCTCTGTACCCCCTCTCTCTCTGCCCCTCCCCCACTTGCACTCTCTGTCTCTCTCAAAATAAACTTAAAAAAAACCCACAAATACTTTTTAAAAAAGGAATCTCTGAAACAACTGCTACAACTAACATGTGAGTTTAGCAAGTTCATAGGATAGAAAACTAGACATAGATAGATAGATAGCTGGATACAGAGAGTATCAACTTTATTTTTGTATACTTGCAGCAAATAATTGGAAAATTAAATTTTTTTAATTTTTTTTCAACGTTTATTTATTTTGGGGACAGAGAGAGACAGAGCATGAACAGGGAAGGGGCAGAGAGAGAGGGAGACACAGAATCGGAAACAGGCTCCAGGCTCTGAGCCATCAGCCCAGAGCCTGACGCGGGGCTCGAACTCACGGACCGCGAGATCGTGACCTGGCTGATGTCGGACGCTTAACCGACTGCGCCACCCAGGCGCCCCGGAAAATTAAATTTTAAAAAATTCCATTTGCAACAGCATCAGAAGACATAAAATATTTAGGAATAAACCTAACAAAAGACATATGAAACAACTCCACTTAAAACTACAAAACATTGGGGCACCTAGATGGCTCAGTTGGTTAAGCATCCAACTCTTGATATCACCTCAGGTCTTGATCGCAGGGTCAGGAATTCAAGCCCCATGTTGGGTTCCATGCTGGGTATGAAGCCTACTTAAAAACAAAAAACCAAAAAAACAAAAAAAAACTATAAAACATTGTGATACTGCTCTGCTTAAAACTAGAAAGCATAAATTTATTCCTAAATATTTAATGTTTTCTGGTGTTGTTGCAAGTGGAATTTTTTAAATTTAATTTTCTAATTATTTGCTACAAGTATATAAAAACAGTTGACATTCTATGTCTATCTCTATCTATTTATCATCTAGGAGGGCACTTGTGATGAGCACCAGATACTGTATGAAAGTGTTGAATCACTATATTATACACCTGAACCTAATATGACACTGTATGTTAACTAACTGGAATGAAAATAAAAACTTAAAATAATAAATAAATAAATAAACCACAAAACATTGTTGAGGGAAATTAAAATCGACCTGAGTAAATGTTCTTGGATGAGAAGACTCAATATTATTAAGAAATCAATTCTCCCCAAAATTGATCAACAGCATTGAGTCACTCTCAGTCACTCTCAACACTTTTTTTTTTTTTTGGTACAAATTGATAAGCACCTTCGAAAATTCATACGGACACAGGAAAGGCCTAGAATAACCAAAGCTATCTTGAAAAAGAACAAAGTTGAAGGACTCACACTACCTTGAAGTTGAGGATTTCAACACTACAAGAATCAAGACAGTGTGATAATGGCATAAGAATCCATAAAAAAATTAAAGGAACAGAATCGAACGCTCAGAAATAGACCCACATCTGCATGAGTATTCGATTTTTTTTTTTTTTTTTTTTTTTTGGTCAAAGATGCCAAAGCAAGCCAATGGGGAAAGAAAAGTCTTCAATAAATGGCATTGGAATAACTGGGTATCTATATGGACCAAAATGACCTCCAAACCATATGCTACACCACACCTTCTCACACCACACATAAAACTTAATTCAATGGGGTTTATAGTCCTAACCATTAAAGCTACAACCATAAATCTCTTAAAGGAAAGCATGGGAGAATATCTTCATGACCTGCTGGCAGGCAAAGATTTCTTAGACAAGTCACAGGGTGTTGCTCATAAAAGAAAACAACTGATAAGTTATACCTCATCAACGTTAAAACTTATCCTCATCAAAAGACACCACTGAGGAAATGAATAGGCAAGCCACAGAGAAAACATTTTCAAGACATGTATCTGATAAATGCCCTGTATCCAGAATATACAAAAAATACTTACGACTCAATAAGAAGACAGACAACCCAAGTTAAAAAGGGGCAAACGATTTTAACAGATACGTCACCAAAGAAGATACCCAAATGGCCAATACAAAATTGAAAAATCAAACTAGTGTGACACTGCATATCAACTGTCGTTCAATTTTTAAAAAATGAAACAATCACTCCACAATCCACTTAGGAGCCAGCTTGATAGGTTCTTACAAATTTAAACTTATCACTCCTAGGTATTCACTCTAGATACATGAAAACATATGTCGACACAAAGACTTTTACATGAATGTTCAATGCAGGATTTATTGTTCATAATAGCCCCAAACTGGAAACAATCCCAACGTCCATCAACAGGAGAACAGACCATGTTTGGTATGTCCATGCGGTGGAACATTATACAGCAATAAAAAAGGACAAACTATAGAAACAAAAAAAAAGCTATATGAAAGAAGTCTTATATAAGAGAGTACATATTATATGATTCCATTTATATAAAGTTCCAGAACAGGCCAAACTATGGTGGAAAAATACCAGAACGGTGGCTGCCAGTGGATGTAGTAGCTACAGGGATTGACTGGGAAGGAGCAGGAAGGGAATTTGAGGGATGACAGTAATGTTCTATATCTTGATATGGGTTTGGAGTTACCCAGATGCACACTTCTGTTAGAATTCAGCGAATGTATACTTAGAATTTGTGTATTTCCCCATAAGTAAGTTGTATAATTTTTCAACCTGTATATTTTTTAAAAAAAATGGTGCCCTCCCAAATTGTCTTGAGCAAGGGTTGGCAGCCTGTGGCCTGAGGTGGTGTGGTGTGGTGGAAAGGGCCCAGGCTTTACATTTTTTTTAATGTTTATTTATTTTTTGACAGAGAGAGAGAGCGCGCGCGCGGGGCAGAGAGAAAAGGAGACACAGAATCCGAAGCAGGCTCCAGGCTCCGAGCTGTCAGCACACAGCCCAACACGGGGCTTGAACTCACAAACCACGAGATCATGACCTGAGCCTAAGTCGGATGCTTAACTGACTGAGCCACCCAGGTGCCCCGAAAGGGCCCAGAATTTAAAGCCAAACAGACATAAGTTTGAACCCTGGCTTGGCCGTTAGGTTGTGTGTCCTTGGGCAAGTTACTTAACTGCTCTGTTTCCTTATCTGTACAGACAGTCGCATAGTGCCCCAACATATAATAAGTACTCCATAAATAGTAGCTAATAATAAAATAACATGTGAGATGATTTCGGGTCATGGGGCCAAAGATGGCGTCATCGCACATCTCGTGGACACCGTTCCAACCAAGATATTCATCTACTAAGGGTTCTATCTGAATCTTCCCTGGGATATGTGTACTTCCATAGGTCCTCTGAAGACTAAGACCTTTATTTTTTTTTTTAATTTTTTTTTCAACGTTTATTTATTTTTGGGACAGAGAGAGACAGAGCATGAATGGGGGAGGGGCAGAGAGAGAGGGAGACACAGAATCGGAAACAGACTCCAGGCTCCGAGCCATCAGCCCAGAGCCCGACACGGGGCTCGAACTCACGGACCGCGAGATCGTGACCTGGCTGAAGTCGGACGCCTAACCGACTGTGCCACCCAGGCGCCCCAAGACTAAGACCTTTAAAAAAAACAAAAGTATCCCCTCTCCCTCCCAAGGAGTAAATGAACGAAGACTTGGAACAGTGCTTGCCTGATTGGCTCTCAGTTCCCCGAACTGTACTCACCTCAGGGTCTGCACCTTCGTTGTAGGAGCGAATGCTGAAGGCCATGCCTTCAAATGTGTGGTCTACCCGCAAGATGGCCAAAGCCAGGCTGGCTGCTGTCAGATTTGCTGTCCTCCCAAAAAACTCCATCTTGTGACCAGCACGCTCAATTATCCTCAGAATTCTGCAAGGAACCACAAGTAGAGAAGAGCATTACTACCTCTTTAATATAAAACCCATTCTCCTTACAGGATTTCCTCAATGTAAGACCTTTCCTTCAGTTTTAATCTCTGGTTTTTACATTGTTTAGGAATTACTGAATAAAAGCACCGGCAGGAATATTTGGGGGATTAAAAACATCACGTACGGTGCCTCCTACAAGACTTGGTTGCTGATCGGCCGTAAGGTAGAGGGAGGTAACTAGTATTATTCTCAAGCTTTTTGCTTGAGCACTGGGTGGATGCATTCTATAGAAATTGGGGGAGCCCCGGGGCTGGGAAAATAGATTGGAGGCTTGGTTTGGGGTAGCTATTTATTTGAAAAGCTGCTACGATTAAAGTTGAGTTAGAATTTGCCATGCATTCCTTCACAATTGGGACGTGAGTGCGATGACCCCCTTGCATCACACAAACACGGCTTTGGATGCATAGCTTCCTGACCTTGAAAACTGGTGATGACTGCATACAAAGGAATGAATTATAAATATTGTGAATATCATGCAATAATTTATTTTACCGAAATATTAGTACTTACTCATTTCTCACTTCACGCAGATCAGATGCTGAATTGTTTTGCTTTCCCAAAACAGCACTGATTATTTGTAGTATCATCTGGGTTAGATTCATACTTATCTCATGACATTGTGAAATGTCAGATACTTTAGAAACAATAATCTTTGTCTCGTCTTCATCCAGAGTGGGGGATTCATTTATCAAGTTTAAAATGTGCTGTGCAGCATCACCTGCATTCTCTGGGGAAAGAAAATCGAAATGTAAAACCCGCATCACTTCGTTTTGGGAAATGCCGGTCTGCTTCCTTCCCTTTCAAAAGTAAAGGCAGTGAGGATGCCTGTGGTGGCTCAGTTGGTTACGCGTCCAGCTCTTGATTTCAGCCCAGGTCATGGTCTCACGGTTCGTGAGTTCGAGCCCTGAGTCAGGCTCTGTGCTGACAGCGTGGAGCCTGCTTCAGATTTTCTGTCTCCCTCTCTCTCTACCCCTCCCGCACGCGTGCGTGCGCGCATGCGCTCTCTCTCTCAAAATAAATAAACATTTTTTTTTAAAGTAAAGGCAGTGAAATAGAAATACATACCAAGGTAGCAAAATTTACAGTAAATAAAATGCTGGACCTCAGTTTCTTTCTTTCTTTTTTAACGTTTATTTATTTTTGAGACAGAGAGAGACAGAGCATGAACAGGGGAGGGTCAGAGAGAGAGGGAGACACAGAATCTGAAACAGGCTCCAGGCTCTGAGCAGTCAGCACAGAGCCCGACGCGGGGCTCGAACTTACGGACCGCGAGATCGTGACCTGAGCCGAAGTCGGACGCTTAACCGACTGAGCCACCCAGGAGGCCTGGACCTCAATTTCTATAACAGACGGAGTCCCAGCAAGTAGCACAGAAGTCAAGTTTTTATTCATTAAATCCTTTTTAAAATACACTAGGGAGACCTTTTTGGCACTGAAGATTAGCTCGCAATTAGATTCTAATTAAGTTAAGACTTTGAGTATTGGATTGAGTTAAGTAGATCCCACCTGTACTAAAATATCAGCAAACATTCTCAGTCTGTGTTTTCATAATCAAAGATGGCAATGATATTTTTTCTGTCAAGAACCAGCAAGCACAGGAAAAAAGCAACTATGGACCAATATATAGTAAAGAGCAACTTAATTTAGATTTTTTTTAAAGGGTAAGAACAATAGATATTAATTCGCCCACTTTTTTCTCCACTTTTTATTATGGAAATTTTCAAACACGCACAAAAGTAGAAAGAATAGTATAATGACTCCCCATGTACCTCATGAATCACCTAGGTTCAACAAGTGTCAATGAAGAGCTAATCATAGTTTATCTACACTCTCACCCACCTTCCTCAACCCCAGATTATTTTAAAGTAAATCCCAGAAATATCATTGCATCCATAAATACTTCAGTATGCATCTCTAAAACCAAAGACCTGTTTGTCATAACCATAATGCCAGTATTTGTTAAACAAATACAACACGAATTAGATTTTCGTTCAATATAACCCCTATAAAGCTGAGCTCCTTGTGGTGCCCTGCTAGTTTAAACTCCCGTTTAAGTCCAATAACCAAAATATAATGGAAAACAATCCAAACATACAATCCCTTCAGAGAAGTCCGGAGAGAGATTACACTCATAACGCTTAACCCAGGTTACACTGCAAATAACCAAGTCTGTTTGGGAAGACAAATTAGCAAAAACACCACCCTCTCTCTCTCTCTTTCTCTCTCTGCCTCTCTCCCTCTCTCTCTGCAAACAACTCTCTGTCCTTGTCAATGTAAATTAAGCAATCTTACCCGAGATTCTCTCAAT